GGTCGTGAAACACTTCAAGCGCGACTTTAAAAGGGCATAGAAAATCGAGGATTCAACCAAATTCAAAAATTTCTTCGCCTAAATGCTTCAAATAAAGTCTAGATTCATTCTAGCGAAAAAAAAAATTGGGGGTTAGGTGCACTTTAAATAAAGTGATTATTATTATTATTATTATCATTATCATTATCAGTCATTTTCATTATTATTATTACTATTATTACTATTATTATTATTATTATATTTGTACTGTTATTTGGATGGAATTCGCTGCAGTTGGATTATAAAGTTTGGGTATCAAGGAAGGGACCATTGTATGACGACTCCAGACTACTGCTTTGAAGAAGACTATCAGGCAAGATTATCAAGTTTGAGGGTGTTTCTCTCCACTCTCGAGCATAAATGGGTACCACCAAATTGTTGGAACTTCCTGACAAGAAATTATACCAGAGTTTAAGGGGTGGGTTGAAAAAAAAGGGCTTTAACATTTCACTTAACCATGCTTATTTTAATTCATGTGGTTCAAACTGACCTTCTTGCCAAACGAATATCAGGATCAGCATCAACAAACACCTTCATGTCCATCAACTAAAAAGTACAGAATTTCCAACGTAATGATCCTTAGAATCTGAGCTAACTTGAAAAATGAAATGATTAAAATCTTAACATTTTAGAATTTCTGCCTTACATTTCTCAGGTCCTTGTATGCAAATGCCATTATCCCTTCAAAGATGATCACATTGGCCCCATATAAATCATTCTGAGGAATCATACATATATAGACTTTATTAATGTGTCAGAGGTATTTAGCTAAAAATAGCTAATACTAAATCAAAGAATTAAAACTAGGTGAGTTTCTTATTTAACAGGGCTTGAACAAAACTTGAATTCTAGCTTGCCCTTTGGACAAGCAGATCTCAAATTTTGTTTGCGTAGTGAGGATGAAAGGTTACTTGCCCGGCTGGAAAATCAACTCGTCCTGGCCAACCAGACAGCAAATTTTTTTAACCCTATATTAACCTTGCCCAAAACACTCTATATTTTTTGGTACCTTGAAATGATCTTAAAAGTGCTTTAAAGCATGAGTTGTGTAATTAATCCAGTTTTATTAATCTATTAATAATATATTATGCTCACATACCTTCTGGTCTAGTCTGCTATGAGTCTTGAAGTCATAAATTGGCACCTAAAAAGATGAAATTACAAGAATGAAGGCACCTTTTTAAATAAAATCTGTGATTACAGAAATGGGAGGTACAATGTACTGTAGTTTGACGGTTAGTGCATAGGACTGTTATCTCAAATTCTTGAAGTTTGTGTTGACAACTCTCACACAAGCAGGGACATACTGGTAGTAAAGGGCCATCAGCTACACTGTGGCTAATTTCACTGGCTGAAATAGAGCTTATAACCGACTGACATTTCACCAGAATACAAAGACTGGGCACTGGGGTAACTTATGATAATTATAAATAGTAATAAATAGCATTTTTATAGCACCTATCCAAGCATGATCTAGGCCCTTTACAACTTATAATTTAGAATAATATTAAAAATAAAATAAAACAAGAATCAATAAAATTATTCCAAAAAGACTTCCTTAAATACATGCATTTTAACAATAAGCTGAGTTTTGAAAATTTGAATGTGCAAAGGCCAGGAAAGCCACATGTGCTTGTCAATAAGCCAGCCTTGTTTTGTTCTTAGCTATATCCCTGGACAAGACATTTCCACAGTGGCTCTGTGTCAAGTAAATCCATTTCTTAACCTGTATGTAGCAGTTGCATACCAATGTTAGATTATTACCCCTCTCCCTGTAAGGGATGATAGTCCATTACAATGTTCCCCACAGCATGGCTATTTTGTCAGCTGTTAAGTTTATATTTTCAAGATTGATTTCCAACTTCAGGCAAAAGTAAGGAGTCCAGGCCTCTCATATTGGAATTTCTTGTTTGCAAAAGTACACATCTCACTTTTATTACCTGCACACTCTTTCCTTCTTTCAATTTCTTCAAGACGCTTGCAGCCAAGTCAGCATCAAATGAATCTTACAGAATGATAAAAGCAAGACTTAAATTGAACCATGTCAGTGTTCAACTTTCAAATCCTCTATGTTATAAAAGCAAACTCAGATAATTAAAGCAAACAAGTGTTAGACAACTAGTAACAAGTGCAAAACCACAGTGCCTTCCAAGAAGACTACTGACAGTAGAGTTCCAGTTAAGGACTAGGATGCAAGCGCTGTGCCCTAGGGCTAGATGTATAACTCTCACTGTTCCTTTCTCCATATACAAACGTAATGAAATGAGTAAGTGTGACCAAAGAAAACTGATTTTATTTTCAGAAGTGACATCTGATGGACTAGGAAAAAGCTACTAACATTTATTTATGACCGTTACAGCCCTTTTCACGGTTGCCTTTTCTCATCTGTATTACAGTATAGTCCAACAGGTATGCAAGAGAATTTCAGGCAATTCTGTAGTTTCTGCCAAAAATAATTTGCACCACAGTCAGGTTCAATAGCGATTCAAAGGAGAAAAGTTGATCGTGAAAAGGGCTATTGAAGCAGCTTTGAATGCTAAATGCAACCTACTGGGAACAATCTTGAGAGTGATTTTTGCAGTATTTTGCTGTGTTGTACAAGGTTATCTTCAAATTGAGGGAAACCTCAGAAAGAGCAATCAAAGGAATAAGGACTGTTGTAGCTGGAAAAAGATTCGACTTAATACAAATCACAACACAAGTTTTTCAAGATGCAATATCCATAACAAAGCCCCTTTAAACTGTTTGCTTCTTGTCCTTTATCAACTATACCTGGATGATCAAAGTTATACTCATTTCTGAGGGCTGCTTTATGCTGCTCAAGCGTTAAAACCTATTGGAATCAAATAGGTAAAGCATGAGACCTTCCCTACAAATATATAATAGGACAGAAATTAAGGGTAACTCACAGTTAGAGGATACATGCTATTAGTAGAATTCTACTAGTATACTAATGCAAATGCTGCAATCTGATTGGCTGAGCTACTCGTATACTATCAGCCACTAGAATGCAGAAGCTGTCGGTTGTCCACGAAATGCGATGTTTTTATTGTTTTTCTGAAGTTTTCGATGAAAGTTTAGATTTAAATGGATAATTATATTCCTGAGAAGACAAAAAGAAGGACATAAACAGGTTCTTGACGTTAAAAACTTGAAATTATTGAAAAACTGGCACGCGCGCATAAACAACTGCAAATTTACCAAGGACAATTCAATATGTGTGATTCTGTTAAAGCGTAAAGTTCAATAATGCGTCAAAATATATTTGGAAACCATTATTTGCGTTAATTTAAGTTAGAATTCTACTCAAACAATAAGATTATTCACTCTCAATTTCTATGAGGCGATAGTTGATTCGGCCTTTGGCCTCATCAACTATCACCTCATAGAAATTTCAAGCTCATAATCTAATTATTGTTAATAAGTATGGTCTAAAGATCAGTTAGTACAGTGGAAACCCCACCTTATGACCACCCTGTTAATACGGCCACCTTGTTACTGCGGCCACTTTATTCTGGCTCGAAAAAAGGCTCAGTCAGTCATTTTCTTATTTAAAGAACCCCTTTAACACGACCCTTCCGATAATATGGCCGGATTTTTGAGGCCCGTTGGTGACCGGATTAACAGGGTTCCACTGTTAGTAGTCATTTGACTTTGTGAAACATTTGTACAGACATTTACTTTGTACTTTCGGAAATTCTGTCGAAGGATATTAGTTGAGTACATAATGATATGTCTAGTAATAGTCCTGGTGCTGTTCACCGTTGAAGCCAAGATAGCGCTCTACAGTAAAGGAGCAAGCTATAACTGTAAATGGGCTACTCAGTTTTTGAGCACATGTATTTTAATACAAACCTGTTTGGTAGACTAACACAAGGTTTGCCCACTCACCAGCTAATCTCCATGTAAACTGGAGCAAAAAAACCATTCAAGGTATGAACGCATGCATATTTAAACCAGCAAAACGCATTCATATTGTTCCCATAGTCTAACCGATGCTTCATTTGTATATATGGAGATTAACTGATGAGTAGGCCAACCTTGTGTTGGTCTGTAAAAGAGATTTGCAAGTTACATTACAATCCACATGCACTCAAAAACTGAGAAGTCCATCTACTGTTGTAATAATGTCATGTTTACATACATGTACATGATTGTAGGAGAGTGTGGCAGAGAGCTGAAATGGAGACTCTATGATCAGGCTAAAGCAAAAAGGATCAATTAAGGCCGTTTGTAACCACATGGCATTGATGTGTGGACTTTTTCAGTATATCAGATTGCTTGATGAGTAGACACCTCACCTTGTAAAATGAGTCCAGTGATAACATGCTGACCCAAGGAACACCAAGCTGTTCAATGATCTTGTTTGCAACGGTTGTTTTCCCCGATGCACTTCCTCCACATAAACCTGAGGTGCAACATGGAGATTTCCACATACATTTGTAACATTCAGCAGTCACTACAATAGTGTATCAAGTTCCTTTCAGTTACTTTAAGTGGGAGGCACATCTCTTTGTGG